TTAAAAAGAGTATTCTGAAAAATCCTTGCTCCAGTTGTCAAGGTTTTATGCTATGTAAAGGCTCTGAAAACCTGAATGTGATTATATTGGCTCTGCAAATATTGGGAAAATTTTGAGTTTGCCATTTGTGTAAGAAAAGCTTCAGAATATGTATGCAAATTTGGCAAATGGAGTTTGTTTTCTCTATGGTACCATGAATAAAAGACGTTTTAACAAATCACAGGTTCAGAGAAAATCTCCAGCTTTACGGTCTATTTTCTCAAATTATAAAAATGAACTTTCAATAAAAAAGTACATGGGGACAATGGGTGAATGGTTAATTTTTCAGGACTGAATTGCAGGTAGAAGAGGCAGTTTCCCCAATACCTGGAGGATTTGACTAAATGAATTTCTAGCCAAGCTATTAAGTTACAATAACTAAAAAGTGATCGTTTATCCCCTACAATGCCTTTCAAATATAAAAGAAACCCAGGCAGTGATAATTATGCAGAAAAATTTTTGTATTATATTGAAAATGATCAACAATTAATTTTCTCCCCTCTTACATTAATCAAGTATCTGTTCCAAAGAAGTGGACACTTTACCCCTATTAAATTTAGGCATAAAAAAACGCAAAATGTAACAGTAATATGTGTACCTTAATTACAGATAAAGAACCAACCTACACATTGCCATTTGCAAACAATTCCCTGCATCTACCACAGATCAACAGGATTATGCACTTTAGAATCTGAGGTAACAAGGCATTTAAAAATAACCAAGGTTTACAGCTACTGCCCTACTATCACCGACTGCATAAACATTGCAATTTAGTTGAAAATATATGGAACAGATGGGATATTTTTGCCACGGTTGAATAAGATATTATGATGCCAGAAATACAGCTGTCCCCAGGCAGTTAAACTCTTCACTGAGTTTCTTTACAATTGCTTTTGAATAGAGAATTGTTCAATGGTGTTTCAGGTCACTGTTGGGAGAAAGGAAAATTAACTGAAAAAAAATTCATTTACATTTTGCTAATGTGGGAGATGGTATTTGGAACCGTTCCTTAGAAGAAGGGGCACAGAAACCTACTTTAAAAAAATTTAAGATCTTGCCTGGCTCTTGCTGATTTGATGCACAAACACCACCAACACTTAAACGGTGCATGACTTGACAAGGTGGGAGATAAATGGGAGCTGCCATCCTCTTTCTGAGGAGTCTCTGATGTCATACTACACAAGGTTAAGCCTTAAACTCTAGTCTCCAGCTGTAGATCAGCGTCCTTATCCCTTTGCAGGATGCCTTTGCCTAGCTGCCAAGAGGGTCAAGTGGGTCCCAGCACCGGGTCTTGTCTGATCCTCGCCCCGCCCACGCCATCGGCCCCGCCCACTCGGGCTCTCAAACGCTTGGTCCGGAGTTGCCCTCTTCTAATATGGCGCCGAGGAGGCGGGTTCCCTTGTCGGCTCCCCGGGTTCCGGCGCCGTGCGTTTTGGTTCCGGAGTACTGTGTTCTACCCCCGCCTTCCTCCTCCTCCTCTCGCCGCCACCACCGCCGTCGGGTCTCGCGGCCTGGGTCGGCCAGGCTGAGCCCGCATGTACCGCGCCCTCCGGCTCTGGCTGCGGCAGGGACCCGCCCCCGACCCTGCGGCCCAGGGCCTGGCCTGGTGGAGGGCCGGCGGCCCCGGAGCTCTTTCCTAACAGCTCCGGACTGAGTCCCCACCGCCCGGCACCCTCCTGTTGCCCAGTGAGGCACTCAGGAGGGCTGGACACTGGCCGCTGTATCTCCCTTAAACCAGGTCCTTGCTCTGCAGTCTCCTCTCCCTCTAAACACGGACTGCAACATGCTTGTCGCCCGTTTTCCCCACTTTCTCTAACTCCAGAACCTTCTGAGTTAGAGAAAGTGCATCCTCCCCCGGGAGACACTCGGACCCCAGGCCACCTGGGCCTGGTTTGGTGCGTGCGGGCTCCCTCCTGATCACTCCTCTTCATTTCTACCTTCCTGTTCCCTGTTTTCACCCCGTCTTCTCCTTATTCCCCCTGACATCCCTTGGAGCTCCTAAGCAGGGGCCAGTGGGCACTCCTTGCCCCAGCATGTGAGACCCTTTAACCTGTAATGCTGTGGCTGGCCCTTGGCCCCTTCCGTGCCATGGAGAACCAGGTGCTGGTGATTCGCATCAAGATTCCAAATAGTGGCGCGGTGGACTGGACCGTGCACTCCGGGCCGCAGTTACTCTTCAGAGATGTGCTGGTGAGTGGTAATCTTAGTGTCCAAATCCCAGCCATGGGGCTCAGAGACCGGAATTAGTCAGCACCTTGGCCACTGGTGACCCGAATTGGCCTCGAATGGGGGCAGGTTACTTTTTGTTTCAACCACAGCACTGATTAATGGCGTACACTGAAACCTGGTAAATGTGCAGGGCTCTGGGTAAATAGATGAATCAGACTGAACTGCTGTCCTCAGGAAGTTCACAGCCTGGACTGGGACTTGCACACCAATGCAAGCAATTGGGATATAAAGAGCTGAGTTTAAAGGACAACTTTATTTTGTTTTCTTAAGTGCCTGGGGAATGCCCTTGTACAGGTTCCAGCCCTGTCTCTACTGAGTTCTCTGAACTTGTGACCTGCTTGGAAAAGAAAACCAGGGCAACTTTAACTTACTGTGTCTGAGCAGACTTCAGATTTCATTGATCGTAAGACATAAACTTCACTATCAATAAGAAAAAATGTATAATAACAGCTCATTTGCAGAGATGTTGAGTGTGGAGGGAAACTGTGCATCTTGAAATGATATTGCATTGTCTTGGAATACAAATAATATATTTCACATAAAATTGAAGGTTATTAATAGGTGGGCTCTTGAGACCCTGTATTCTTTTTTAAGTAGGTACTGAGTAGTGAGGTAAAAGGACTTTACTAAGATTGTGTTGCCCCTGAAGGGGAGAGTCAGTGTCAAAACTCCATCTTCCTTACCTAGTGGTATGTGCAGGTGTGTGTGCATGTGTGCGCCTGTATGTGGAGGTCAGAGGTCAACCTCGGGCATTCTTCTTAGGTATCAACCTACCTTGTATTTTGAAGCACAAGGGTCTCTCACTTTTACTGGTAGCTCTTGTATTAGGCTAGGCTGGCCGGCCAGTGAGCTCCAGGGATACACGTGGCTCTGCTTCCCCAGTGCTGGGATTATAAGCATGCTACCATGCCTGGGCACTTAACCCACTGAACCATCTCCCAAGCCCACACCACCTGGCTTTTTTACATGGGTTCTGGAGATCAAACTCAGGTCCTCATGTTTGCATGGCAAGTGCTTTAATGACAGCCATCTCCCTGGTTCTCCTTAGTTTTGCTTACTGTATTTTTTCCCACATACTGCAGCCCATGTGCACCTTTTTAGTCATTTGATACAGACAGGGTATATTGTGCCCACTTTATGTACTGAATAGTTCAGAAACAGAAATGGTAGTACCAGAAAGAATGTTGCAAGAGACAGATGTGTAGTCTAATGTACCAGCATGCTAAGGGGACTGAGTGGCAGCTTTTTGTGAGGAAGAAGATAATATGATACGATTTCTTTTAACTGCCTTGGGATGCTATAAAAATCTATAACTTCATGTGACATCTAGATGCCACTGGACCACCCAGGCTATGCAGGCTTTTGGGTACCTAGACTAGGAGTATGGATCCTGTAGTAAGCTGGCACCCTCCAGTCTTTGACACTGAATGCCACCCCTTTTCTACACCTAGAGTTCTTCACACACTCGCAGTGCACATCAGTTTCCTCTGCTGGTGAGCCCACACAGTCCTCATTATGGTCTTCAGGGTCCATCTTAATTGACCTGGCAACTGCTTCCTCTCTCACTACCCCTCCATGAGCATCCAGTACCCCAAGTATACAGAGTGACTGTCAGTTCTCCCAGGTGCTCAGGCTATGCCTCTATTTTGCCTTTTACTTTAGCTTGCTAACTCCCACCTGTCCTTTCACATCAAACTTCAGTTTTCCTCTATGTTAATGTTGGTCAGTGGCTACCTTTGTGTTCCTAACAGCTTTGAGGGTGTACTCCAGCAAAGCATACATTTGGTTGTGATTGTTTCTCTGTTCATTCCACTAGAAGGTAAACTTCTGGAGGAGACAAAAGCTCTGTTTCCAATGCTTCATAGGACCCTGAAATTTGTTTAATGATGAAGCTTAAAACTGGATGTGGGGCAGGCAAGATGGCTCAGTGTGTAAAAGTGATTTTACATACTACATAAACTACATAAGCTACATAAACCTGATGACTTGAGTTGGATCCCTGGAACCCATGATAAAGAAGAGAATCAACTTTCAAAGTTGTCTTCTCACCTTTATATGTGTGCTGTGCCATGTGCATACCCATTTTCTGTCTCTGTCTCCCCCCCCACACAAATAAAATGAAAAATGAAGCATCTTTTTTTTTAAAAAAAGAAAAACACAGGATGTATGAAATTATAATATGTGCCGATCACTGGGTTCTTTTTTTGAGACAGGTCTCATGTAGCTCAACCTGGCCTCAGATTACCTGTGTTATCAAGGATGACCTTGAGCTCCTGATCCTCTTGCCTCCACTTCTCCAGTGCTGGGATTTCAGGCATGTACTACCATACATGGTGAGCACTGGGTTTTGAGTTAAGCAGTTTGATTTTTATTGCCAGCTGTTCCACTAGCTAAATTACTCTGTGTCTATGAACCTCAGTTTCCTTATTTCTAAAACAAGGATACCTGTATCGACTTGTGAAGATTAAGCACATAGCACATGCTCTTGACGTGTTGTCACTACAGTGTAAGGGACAGGACTTGGCCCTCTGCTTCTTGAGCACCTCCAGGAGATTCCTGGTTCCTGGCTTAGTGGCCTACAGGAGCTACCACACCAAAGGCCCCACAGTAAGGCTCAGAGCCATGTGTCTGCATATTTTGCTCAGGTAAGACCAGGTAGGGCACATTTGTCAGGAAGGGCAGTAAAGCGATTACCACTGTGGATTCTATGAAGTGTCCTGGTGCTGTCTCATAGCAAGTCTGCCAAGGTGTGACCCCAGGTCCTTGTCACCTGCTCTTCCACTTCACCTTATCTCTTCCATCAAGAAAAGGCAAGCCCCCAAAGAAAGCATCTCTGACTGGGAACCTTAGACTTTAAAGCCATGTGAAACCTGGATTCCCCATTTCTTCTAATCTTCCCCATACCTCCCAGTTTTCAAATGAGGCAGAATGCACCCCAGAAGAGGAAGTGTCTTGCTAGAGCCATACATGTAGTTTTTGGTGAAACCTAAAACAGAAGTCAGAACAGGTTCTAGTGTCTGAGTCAGAGTAATTGAACATCTAAGACCACATGTCAATAGCCAAGGGCTCCAGTGGCCGCTTCGCCAAACAGCTGGGAGACAGTGCAAGTGACTCAGCCCTTCTGGACATGTCTTGTGTCTGCTATCTGCAGAGAAAAGGCAGTCTACTCCAAGGACAGAGACATTTGGGTGACCTCTGTTGTTTTTCAGCTTGCTTTCTTCTGTCTCTGCAGTCAAGGTCCCTAGTTGGAGGAACCCTGTGTAGGGTTGGGTTAGATTAGTGGGAGGAGGGAGGTAGGGAGCCTTCTCTTTCTATTTGTTTCCCATCTTGAAGCCCCAGCTCCAGCTATTATTCATTTGTAAATTTCTGTCTTAATTGAACCTGTGATTTTCTTCCTTCCTCCTGAGTGTATTAGTTACTTCTCTTGTTGCTGTGACAAGATACTGACAGAAGCAGCAAGGAAGTCATGTTTTCTTTTTTGCTCACACTTTGAGGGTGCATTTCATCATGGTGGGGAAGTCAGGAAGGAACTAGGGAAGTAGGAACACAGGAAGCAGAGATGTGTCCTGCTCAGGTCACTTCCTCCTTTTTTTTTTCAGTCTAGGATCCCAGTCTATGGAATGGTGTCACCTGCTCTTAAGATGGGTCTTCCACCCCAGTTAACCTCATATAGAAACTCTCTCACAGACATCCCCAGAGGTTTGTCTCTGAGGTGATTCTAGAGCCTGTCAGGTTGATAAGGAATATGAACCATCAGAGTGAACAAACACAATTTGCTGTTTACATCTTTCATTTGACTCTTTTTGTACTAGAAGTGCTTTACATTAAGTCGGATGTGGTGACGCATACCTTTAATCCCAGCACTGGGAGGCAGAGGCAGGCGGATCTCTGTGAGTTCAAGGCCAGCCTGGTCTTCATAGTAAGTTCCAGGACAGCTGGGGCTACAGGGAGACTCTGTCTCAAAAAAGACCGGAAAAAAAAATCAAATAGCACCAATACAAGGGGAGCTTTTTCATGTTCCTTTATAAAAAAATTTTAATTTATAAATGATTATTTTTATTTTATGTGTATGAGTGTTTCGCCTACATGTATGTAAGTGTACCCATGTCATGCAGTGCCTGTGGAGGTCAGAAGAGGGTGTCAGAACTTGTTGAACTGGAGTTAAGGGTGATTGTTAGCCACCGTGTCGGCGCTGGGAACCAGACCCAGGTCCTCTGAAAGAGTTGCCACTGCTCTGAACCACTGACCCATATCTCTAACCCTTTAAATTGTTTTGAATGTCAAAACGTCTCCTTTCTTTTTTTCCCCTTTTCAGTGTTTTTTGAGACGGGGTCTCCCTGTAGCCCCAGCTGGCCTGGAGCTCGCTATGTAGACCAGGTTGGCCTTGGACCAAATTGTAATCTTGATTAGGTCAAGGGCTGATTCTTACTTTCCTGGAGTTTACTTAGAAAGCTCCTGGCATACTATAGATACACAGTTTTATTTTTGTTCTGTTAGGTATTTGTCTGACTTATTGAGAGGATGGTAAAAGAAAAAAAGGATCAAGAAATGATCAGCATCAAGATAGGTTAAATAAGTTTTCTTTTGAAAATGTCTTTAGGTGAGGAAAAATGTTGACGGTAGGAGAAACTTGTTTCCTTTGGAAACAAGTACAAATTAAGTCCTTAAAGTATAATTGGGAATGTATATCAAGTCATTAAATGTACCTGCTTTAAAATGGCCATAGAGGGGCTGTGGAGACGGTCCTGGCACTCTGGCTGAGTGTCGGCTTCCATGCTCCGCACTAGACCGCTTGTGTGTTTCATTTTGTACTTGCTCTATGGCTTCCTGTCAAGAAACGCTTCCTCCCTGAGTATGTGTGTAGGAGAATTTCGTAACTATTTTTTTTTTTTTTACAGCTTCTTCACAAAGTTCATGTCTCATTCGCTAAGACTAGAGTCAGAGAAAACATAATCTCTTTGACTCTGATGAGTAAGGGCTATCCACGGTAGTTCTTCCCTTTGATCAGGTTTATATGCACAGATTCATTTTTCAAAAAGAATAAAGGAAAAAAAGCATGGTAGAGACATGACGATTATGCAAATTGTCACTATAGCAGAAGTGTCTAAAGAATTGCCTTTAGAGGGAAGTTCAGCCTCCACTCAGCAAAGGGCCCTGTTTGGAAGGACTATGGGCTCCCTGCTGAGAAATACTACCAGCAGGCTTTGTCAGCTGGCTGCCTGGTGCCAGTCCTGGCGCAGCCGCAGCCTGGGAGGGACATTGTAGCAGTGCTCCTGGAGAGAAATGAGGTTTGCGGGCCTTTGGAGTGGGATAGGATATGATGGAATGTCTGTTTATCCAGAACTTAAGTGTCCCCATAGACTAATTTTTGAGTGTTTTCAACTTTAGAAATTCATTTACATATTGGTATCAGATTATGATATATCTCTGTATATCAGATATAAATACCTCAGGGGCTTTTGGGGTAGCTAAATTAACTTCTATTTCAGTGTCATCAAATATGCTTCCATTGCTTAGGAATAAAGGTTGGTAAAAACTGCATTATACATAGCTGTATATCACCATCATAGAAACTTCTTTGTTGACATCTGACCACTATGAGATCATGGTACCATATTGCTCTTTACAGATCAGAAACCACATTTATCAACATCTAGAATGTGTTGGGTTCTGAGCTTGTGCTGACTACATTATTTAGTTTTTACATTGCCCCTTAAGTATCACTGGATCCATTTTGGAGAATAGTCAGAATGGGGCTCAGAGAGGATAAGTGATTATTTCTTCCAGGTTGTACGTGTAATAAGTACAGAGTAAAGACTGTAACTTAGAGTACTCTGATGCCTGAGCCCTGTTCTCTTTCCCCTGCAGCATGTTCTAGTCTCCAATACAAGAGACCGTGTGTGTGTGTGTGTGTGTAAATATACAGTAGTGTAGTAATATATGCACTGCCGGATTCAGAATAAAAGATTATCATTAATACAATATAAAGGTTTTCTAATGATGTTTCTCTTTGGAATAGAGATTTAAACCCTGGACTTGCATTGCTGGGCTAAGTGTGATTATGAGCTAATGTTTTTATAGTTTATGCCAACATTTCAAAAATCTTTCCCAGGTTCTCATATTTCCTCCAGGATTTGCCACATGTTAGCAATAAAGAAGATGGCTAATTGTGTTTCTTTATTCTTTCTTTGTTTAGGATGTGATAGGCCAGGTTCTGCCTGAAGCAACAACTACAGCATTTGAATGTAAGTCTGGCTTGTCTGCTTCTTGACTGTTTCTTTCTGCAGTGATGTTTCACATGGTTTATGGGCTACATTACTTTAGAAACTGACAAAAACAGATTATTTATGATCATCATATGGTACATTTAAATATTTATAAATTAATGCAAGTTTAATGATGATACTAAACCAAGTAATATTTTCTTATTTAATCATATCTTGGGTGCGCATATTTCTATAATATAGCTTTAATTACCAACATGACCTTTATCTGCTCTTGCTTCTCAAAATGAAACGTGTAAACTACCTGTAGGCTGATGATTATTGATGAAGAGATTTTAACCCTTTACTGCTTTAAGGCATAGTGGCTGAGCAGGGCTCTTCTGTGAGCGTTGCGTGCAATGATTCTGTTTGGTGGGGTCTGGCAGTCCCGCTGGATGATAGTAGGATGATGATAGGAGCACTTTTGCTGTGAGTCCTTCTGCTCAGCACTGAATGGCGGCTTCTGTGGACAGGGCTGCGCTGTGCTAGGAAACTGGCTTTAATGGAACCAGGTCATTGCAGGGGAGGTTGTGGTGTGAGCTTAATCAGATGCATAAGGGCTCAAGTGCTGAGAAGGGTAAAATAAGGATTTGAAGTGGGGGTCCCCTCCTCTTTTGAAAATGAGGACCACAGGCTCAGGGGGTAAAACTCTTGCTCTGCCAGTATGAGAACCTGAGTTCAAATACCCATGTAAAAGTCAGGTGTGGCGGTGCACATTTATAACCCTAGAACCCCTAGAGCAAGCTAGGTGGTGGAGAAAGGAGAATCCTTGGCCACTTGCAGGGCCAGATAGCCAGGTACACGCAGGGAACCACAAAGAAGGTGGAAGGTGAAGACCAACGTGGAAGCTGTGCTCTGGCTTTCACACGCATGCTGTGGTATGGGAACTCTCACACAGGAACATGCACATGTATATATCCACACATATACATGTCATATATGCATACATACACACATGCGTGTGCACACACACACGCACACACACGAAAATGAGGACCACTTTTCAACATAGAAATAACTGATTTTTCCACATACTAGTGTACTTTTTGTTCCTGTTTTAAAGAAGATGGTAATCAACAGAGTACAGTAGATAAGGATATACAGTTTGTGAGTCCTCTTTGGGGCACAGTTTGGTGATTATAAGATGCACGGCACCCTTGACTCAGTAGATCTCCCTTTTTGGAAGCGAGTGACCCAATAGAAATGTTGTGTGCCTTTGAAACAAGGTATTCATGATGGGATTATTTTTGATAACAAAAAAATTAGATATAATCAAAATGCCAGGTAGAGTTGGTCAATAAATTATAATATGTCCATATTCTTAAGCATTAAGAAGTATCTGAAAGGAGTGAGTTAGGACTTGATGCTACAGAGAGAGATCTGTGATTTGTTTAGTGAACAAATAATGTGTATAGTTTATAGCTTATGAAAGCTCTGTCCCCCTTCATCCTCCTCGTATGTTTATTGAGGGGCAGGATCTGCAGAGTGCTGTACTGTGCTCTACTGGAAAATGAACATGGGGCCTGGGGGATTGGAGGTAAATAAACACACTTTTTACTTTACTTTATATGTGCCCCTATTGCTTGAATATTTTTCAGTAATCATTACTTGGTTTTAAAAACTACAGTGAAGCTGGGCATGATGTTGCACACCTTGATCCTAGCACTTGGAAGACAGAGACATGTAGATCTCGGTGAGATGGAGGCCAGCCTGGTCTATATAGTGAGTTCCAGGCCATTTGGGGCTCCAGGGAGACCTGTCTCAAAAAAAAAACCCCACAAAAACCAAAAAAATAAGAAGAACCCTAAAAACTACAGTGAGTAGGACTGTTAACTAGTACTGCAGTAACCGTGGGTGGCTCTCCGTGCTGTTGAGGAGAATATATATATGTGAAGTACACAGAGCGTGGTAAGCTCTACTCAGACTTCTTGTTGCAGTAGCTGCAAGGGGTCTCTGGAGCAGTTTGACAGCGAGTTGAGTTCTTTCTGTTGCCAGATGCCATGCTGAGAGCCTTCTGTGGGTTAGCTTATTTTCCTTAACTTTCACAAGATCCCTACGCAGTGCTTTGCAGGACTGTTAGTGCTGTTTTAGCCAAGGAAAGACTGTCTCCTTTAAGGATATCTCTGAGTAACACGCTCACATACACGTGTAAGTGGAATTTCTGGAGTAGATTCTAGAGGATATTTCCTCAACCACTGCTGGGTTTGTTCGAGAGTTATCATGTGTTCTTTTTTCTCATAAGCATGGCAGAAAGCAGCTTACTTTGTATTTACTCTGTGTGTGTGTGTGTGTGTGTGTGTGTGTGTGTGTGTACACACACACATGTCCTCACGTGTGTGGAAGTTAATGGACAATTTTCAGGAGTTGGTTGTCTGCTCCCGCTGTGGGTTCCAAGGATTAAACTCAGTTGTCAGGCTTGCTCTGCAAGCATTTTTGCCTGCTGAGCTGCCTTGCTAGCCTAACTTGGTGCTTTCTACTCCTTGTCCTGTGTCTGCCCCACTAGCTTCCGGAATTAGCATTCATAGTCATAGTACTAATTGTTTTAACTGTCATTTATTGGTGGCTTGTTCTGAGCCAGCCAATGTACTAGATGCTTTCCGTGGATTGTTGCTAGGGCTTAATAATCTTCACAACGACTCTGTGAAGTAGGAAAATTAGACTTGTGAGGAAACTGGAAGTCACAGACATGAAATGTTTGCTGAAAGTGATTTCTCAGAAAAGGTGGAATCCAGACTTAAGCATACATGCTCCTTATAAGAACATCAAAAACCCATGAAGCATAAATAGAGAAACTATTAAAATTTTGAAGTTTATGTTGTTTGACATCATGGTCTTCCTTTTTCCCCAGCAAGTGAAGCGATTGCTTGTCCATCTATGTGCCAGCCAGTTTTGTCTATTTTGGTGTTTATACAAAGCTTCTTTCCCATCTCCTCCTCCTCCTTCTTATCCCCCTCTCTCTGCCCCTCCCCATTCCTCCTCTCCTTAAGCCTCAACCTCCCAAGTGTTGGGACTGCAGGTATTTACCTCAGCACCCAACTGTGAACCAGTTTTAGATGAAAAACAATAAAAACCAACATACACACACAGATAAAAATAATGACAGCCCTTAGTCATATGTGGTTGGATTATCACAACCCTTGGGTGGCTTTATTTTCTGAACTGGAAATTGGGACCACTACATGGAACCATTATATAAGAAATAGTTAAGGTTTAGTTTGGATATTATTTTTCTAGGAAGTTTAAGATATTTCAGTGATTTGTGGGCGAGTAACCCTCAAATAAATAAATCTTTATTAAAGAAACATTTATGATAGCCAGGTGTGGTGGCACACGTCTTTAATTCCAGCACTCAGGAGGCAGAGACAGGTAGATCTCTGTGAGCTCAGGCCATCCTGTTCTTCATGGTGAGTTCTAGGCCTGCTAGGGCTACAGGTAGACCCTGTCTCAAAAAGACCAAAAAAGAAAAGAGAGAATCGAGAGAATGGGAAGCAGGAAAGGTCAGTGATGTGACAGAGTGCCCAGTGCTGTCTCTATGGTGGAAGCCTGCAGTTCCAGGTGGGCCTGTCTCTTCAGATGCTCCTTTCTCAGAGTGGGAACTGTCTAGTAGCCTCCTGGTTGCCTTTTCCTCTCTGCAAGAGTTTCAGTTCTTTCCTGTGAGGCACCTGCTTTATTTTTCTTAGCACTAGCTTTAGAGCCTTGGGGAACATGCTTGCTGAACAAAATCAATGTCACAAGTGTCCATATTCAAATGAAAATTGTAAAATATACAAAACTACAGCTAAATGAATAATCCTCCCCTCTTTGGGGATTATCTGTGTTATTACCTGGGCCTTGGATATAACTGGTGGTGGACAATTTGACCCCAGATTCAATGCCCACACTTACTGTCAGGAGATGGTAGAGGGTCTATGGTTGCTGTGTTTTTCTTGCCTTTGTAGGTCCTTCTTCCACACTAGCACAGATGAAAGTCTTATTTATTTTACTTTTTTCTTTTTAACATTTATTTATTGTGTGCATGTGTGTGCAGCATGTATGTACATGTGCTGTGGCATACATGTGGAGGTCATAGTATAACTTTCAGGAGTTAATTCATTCCTTTTACTCTGTGGGTTCCAGGGAATCAAACTCAGGTCATTAAGCTTGGTACAACTCATTGGCATGAAAGTATTTAAAAATATATTTATTTTTTAAATTACCTATATGCATGTGGGTCTGTGTGTGGATCTGTGCATGTGAGTTCTGGTGCTCTTGGAGGCTAGAAGCTTCGAGATCCCTCTAGAATTACATGTGATTGTGAGCCACATGACTTAAGTGCTAGGAATTGAACTCAGGTCCTCCATGAGAGCAATATGCTCTCTTAATTGCTGAGCCATCTCTCAGCCACTCCCCCCCCCCCAGAGTGCTTCTTTAAAAAACTATTTTATCAAAAAATGTTTTATTTTATGTATAGGAGTGTTTTGCCTGGCATACATGTAAGTGCACTGGTGTCATGCAGTGTCCTCAGAGGCCAGAAGAGGGAGTTGGATCCCCTGAAACTGGAGTTTGGGATGGTTGTTAGCCACCATATGTATGATGGGAATTGAACTCAGGTCCTCTGCAAGAGCAGCCAGTTCACTTAACTGCTGAACCATTATTTCTAGCAACCTCCTTCCCCCACCCCCTGCCCCACATACCCCTAAAGTACTTCTTAATACCTAGTGTTTGATTTTCTTTGTTTTTATTGAAAAGGTATCTCCTAGAAAATTTAAGTAGCATTAAAAACAAAGCAAAAGGTAAAAGCCCTCTTTTTCTCAAATCATTGTTAGTAATTTCTTCAGTGTCTTTAACCTCACCTATTAGCTTGTCTTAGACCTATTTCCAACATCAGTGTGCACATATCAGTCTTTTGGCTGCAGCTTAATTTATTTAGTCTACTTGATGGACATTTAATTTGTTACGAGCATTTTTAGAATCAGGAAAATGCAGAAGTCAACAGCAGTGAC